TACAGTTTCTTTATCTTCTCTCTGTGAGAAGGCTCTGATACAGTCTCTGACTGACACTGCTACTTATCTACACTATGCTAAGCAGCTGAAGAAGAGAGAGATTTTATATATCTACTTCTTCTCTTACTCTTATTATTTTCATTGCATCTGTAATAATAACTTCTATCTCTCTGTAAATATTATCTATTCTACAAGAAGATGTTATATCAGCTCTGATAAGAAGCTCAGATGCTCAAGCAGTACAGAGTAAGAGTCTCAGAGCTTTAAGTATTGATGAATTTTATCAAGACTGAGAAGATCTCTCTTACTCATCTGTAAAAGAAGATGAAAGTATGAGTCTTTAAGATAAAAAAACATCTCAGAATGACTGATCTTAAGAAGAAGTCAGTTAATACTGTTGTTAAAAATATTACAGAGATTAATTACTGATTAAAGAGAATCTCACTTCAATTGAAGTAGATAACTGAGATACTTTATAAATTAATAAGTTAATACTTTAAGTATTTCTTATATTCTTCTATAGTATGCTTCTCTATAATATCACAGCACTAACTTCTTAGCAGATAAAGATATCAGTACTGAAGACTTTAACAGTGAAGAATGAGTTTAATAAAAATATAATTATTGATAAGTAGATTCTGAGATTTCTTCTTTTTACTTTTTTAGTAAGTTATAACTTCATTAGATTAGCAGCAGTCTACAGATCAATAATATTAATCTTTTTATTAATTTTAAATATCTCTTTTCTTTAATTACTTCAGAAATGTTACACTTGTATAATCTTATTAAACTTCTAAAAAACTCTTTGAGAGAAAATAGAAGAAGAGTGTTACAGAGCTCTTAAGATACTGACTTATCACTGTGAGATTATCTCTAAAAACTCTTTGAGAAAAAATGAGAAGTCTTAAGCAGTATTTCTTATTTAATATCTCTGATATATAATAGAGCAGTCTCTACTAACTGTCTCATAGCTTACAATCTCTTTCTCAGTATTCTTTAAATACTTAAGCAGTTCTCATGAATTCTCTGATAATAAATAATCTTCTCATTTCATAAGATATTGAAGCTTGTTATAATATATTCACTTATTTAATATTTTCTTCATAAGATATTCAGTATCACTCTCAATCTTAATATTATTCAGCTGAGACAGCTTCACTCTGAAGTATTATTTATAGAGCTTTAAATAGAAAATATGAAAAATAGAATAAATTGATTTCAATTCTGTGAGTAATTTTAACTTATATATCTGCTTACTCATCACTCTTATTACTGAGAAAGATTCTAACTATTACTTACTAAGCTTCTTACACAGTCTTATTATCTTAATATTCTTTGCTGAAAGTAGTACTTAATTCTCTATCAAGAACTTCATCAGAAGATGTTTTTAATTATAGTATTTCATCTATTACTTCTGAGTATAATGAATACTTTTTACTGTCTTCTCATGAATTTTGTTTAAAAGTTTCAATCTCACTTTTACTTTTAGTACTGAGAAATACTCTGTTCTCTGTATCTATTTAACATTCTGACTGTCTGTTCTCTTCTTTAAAATGTCATTTATAACATCACTGAGTAACAAAGAATTGTATTTATAATAAGTATAGAAAGAAGATATCTTTAAGATTATATTCTTTATATTATTATATATGAATTCAGTAGTTAGAAGATGTTTGAGTCAATCATTCTGATAATATAAACAGAACACTTAAAGATACTATTCTAGTATCTGATTCTGATATTCAGTCTGATTATCTATCTGCAGATGAAATACAGTACTGAGAAGATATCTTATTATAAGATAATAGCAAAAAGTCAATTAGTACTTGCTGATAAAGAGAGATTCTCAATCTATTATCAATGATTTCAGAGCACTGTGATTATAAATAATAATATCTAAAAACAGATCAGTCAATTCAGAGGCTTTAATCTTTTTATAAATAAGAATATATCTGATTATCTTCATGAAGTGATCAATAATGATCAAAATTGAGTTATATTCTTTGACTCTTATTAACTTCAGTAGATCAACTATGAAATTCATTGATAGATTCTGTTATAAGCTTTTTGAAACAGACAGTGATATCAACTCACTGTATTACTTATATCACAGAATCTTTATTCTTTAATAGATATTATAAGTCTTAACATACTCTTTGATATCTGTTGAAAGCTTGTTTTAAATATATTTATATTTTAAAAGCTTCTCAGTCTTCTCTAACCTGAAGTATTCTGTATGAGAATTATTATAATGAATTCTTAATAACTTCTGACACACTGCTCTACTACAAGAAATGAAGACTGAATTATTCAGCAGTAGAAGTTTACATTCTTCTAGTTATCAGTAACTTAGTTTCTTAGCAGTATTATCTTACTCAGAGTCTGTCTCTTTCAAGTTCAAACTAGATTCTTTCTTCTTCAACTTCTGAATTCAAGCTGTAGTAGAGATATCTCTCTTCTATAACTTATTAATAAATTTCAAAAGTAGTCAGATTGAAAGATTGTAGACTGTTTCATTCTTTATTAATTCAATGATTATAAGATATAATATAAGAAGCTCATGATCTTCAGTGTCAGTTCTCTGCAGAGATTCAGGTTTTCTTTCATCTTCTATACTGAGTCACACAGCTGTCTTATCAGCACTGTTCTCAAGCTTTAGAGAACTTCAACTCTCTGCAGTCAGCTTCTTCTACAGTGATGACAGAGATTCTTTTATAGAATTCTTCTCTGCATTAATAATATTATAATCAGGTTATTTAAACAGTATATTAGCAGAATTAAGTCAATCTGAACAGTATCAGATATAGAAATCATACTCTGAAAGCAGCTCTGCTCATCTGGCTTAACATTCTGTCAAGCTCTTTATTGTCAAGAAGTAACATAGATTTACATAATCAGTGAGAACTTACACTGAATACTTACTACTCTGAAGATAATATTGCCAGATCTTAAAGAATTTAATAATTGCTAACATCTTCTAATCATAAGTATCATATCTTCTCTATATAAGTGATAATTTCTTGAAGAAGAAGGTCACTGATCTCTATTCACAGTGTCTTATAGACTCTGTGAAAAAGTCTTCTCTTACAGATAATTCATTGTTTATTTTCTCAGAAGTGATTATTCTCTGATTCTTTCAATATTGAAAGATCTTCAGTGTCAACTGTGAAAAGATTTCACAGATCTCATTCTCAGATACATCAGTCTCACACTGACTGAGTAAGTCAGAGTCAAAGTGATTCAGTATTATAACATCTGTGAAAGCTTGTTTCAATTTCACAAACATCTGTGTGATGTCTTGAGTGAGAATAAATAGTTCTGTTTTTCTGTCTTTCACACTTCTCTTTCACAGATCTGTAAGAGAGGCAGTAATTTATAAATATGCATAGATAAATTATCTGTAGAAATTCACAAATTCTAGAAATACCTGCATCTTGTGATACATTCACAGCACTGACCAGTTCTCAATGATGAAGACCTGTAATGTGGCGGAACTGAAGCGGTGACTAGTCAGCGGCGTCACATAGAAGTAGTTGTTTGAGAAGTCATATAAGTGAGCTTGACTATCTTGCTTGAATAGCGAGCTCATAGACTACAGAGTTATTGCAAGAATATCACAGATATGATACTCAGTATACTAAGAAGATTGTATAAGACACACAGTAACTCTTATATATATTTCAATAGAAGAAAAACAAATCACTGACTTCTTTCATAAGAAGCCAGTATCTAGTTATTCTATATAGACAATGAGTGAATCTCTTCTCTTATTTCATAAGTGAGAATAGTCAGAGTGATATCTCAGCAGTGTCTCACTACTAGACTGACCGTGTGACCGTGTCTGAGACCAGAATCAGATTTTTTGATAGTTTCATTATCAATTCGACTGATCTCATTACACGGTTTTAACATTAAATAGTAGTCTCATACTGTCTCAGTGAGACTTACTGTCTACTCTTATCACATTTTTCAAATGAGATCATGATTTTCACTTCTCAATTTAAATTATTTTTATTACTTTAAATGACTTTAAATCTCATTTGAGTGTTATCAAAAAGTGTTACTTTTTAAAAAATTAAAAATAGTCTAAAAAAAATCTTAAAATGTCTAAAAGTAGTAACTTTATGCCAAGAATGAGATTAAATGAAATCAAATGAGACTACTTTCTCATTTTTTTCAAGTCATGGTTCCATTTTAATATCTGATATATAGTCACTTTACCTGTTTTTTTGATAGCCAGTCCCAGCGGGATTCACGCCAAGAAATGTATGAAATCAGACCAAATGAGATCAAATGTGAAATTCATGATCTCAGCAGCCAGACTACTCACTACTAAGAAAAAGTAATCTGCTGACCTTATATAGAAGTGAGATTCTCATATTCATTAATCAGATCTTTCTATGATATATTCAAATGATGTTATAAAGTGATTGAAAACTGATTTGAACAGAATAAAATTATTCACATAAAAGTAATGAGCTGTGTGAAACTGTAACAGAGTCTTAACATAACTGAGAGTATGATAATGTTCTTCTCTTTAAGAGCATAGTCTCTATACTCTTAAGATTACTGAATTAGAAATTATCTTTGTTGTATAGCAACAGTTATCAATTAATTAACAGTGTATATACTGTGCATAATACAAAGAAATAGATGAGTTTTTCTGCTAACTGCATAGATCTTTCTTTTCTCATCTTCATTCAAACTAAACATGTGATAAGTGAGTTTCTTATATATTAATTTGAAATGTGAAAAATATAATTAATAAGTGACTTGCAGATCTTTCAATATATTTCATTCTATATATGAAATTCTCTGCAAAAGTGATGTATTTTAGAGATAAAGCTAACAGTAGTAACAGGATTTTTTTAAAAAGATTCTCTCTCTCTGTAATACATTTTTCTTCCTCTTCTCTCATCTGCAATAGTGAGTGCATAAGAGTATCATTCTTGAAGAATAGTAGAGAGCTTATTCTGACATTTTCTAGTGAGTAAATATCTTCATGATGCGGCAGTGGCCTTCATGACTGTCAAGAAAGCCAGATTGAAGGTGAAGACAGCAGTGTCAATGAGCTGTGAAAGCATCACTCTCATTATCACATCTTCTTCTTCTCCTGCTTCTTTTGCAGCTGTGGTGGTAGTCACTGTGCTGTGGTTCGGAAGAACGTACGACCGTCGGATAATAACGCGGCCGCTTCCGAACTACTAGCGTACGCGTACGAGTGTAAAGGGGCCATAGCGGCTGCTAATTAAATTAGTGTACAATATTACAATATATAAGAAGCCAGCATACGCCTGTAATTGTATGCTGGCTTAAGCAATCTTTGAATCACATCTGATAGCATGTCTAAAAACTGGTGAGAAGCGCAGGCTTCTTCAGAGTGTGATAATTCTGTCTATGAAGTGATTTATAGTTATCATGTCAGTGTGGTTCTAGAATGTCTCAAAAGATAGTGTATAAAGAGTGATGAGTGAAAGAGCATTTAATTAATACTGCTTCACTTGTTGAGGGAAAACTTCATACTCAGATAAATGTCATGTATGCAAACAGATAAGATGTGAGAAAGAAGATGAGAGTGATGAATCAGATTCAAAGAAGTTCACTTTCTACTCAAAAGAAGAATAAAAGAAGAGATGACTATCACTGAAGTTGTATGATGATAACAGAAATCATATAATAATATAGTGATAGAATTATATAGTGATATAATGATACAGTGATATAGTGATATAATGATATAAGTAATATAACAATAGACATTGTACAATCAATCAGAAATCACTGAAATGAATATCTTCTCTAACTGATATAAACAACACTCTTCTCTGCTATCTGAACTGAAAGGTATGCAGAACCTCTCAGAGAATTTACTTAAAGTAGTAAGAAAAGCAGCTGAAACTGCTGAACTGAAATTGAAGCTTTATATGCATATGAGGATTTTAAATGAGATTGAGGTCTTGTATATGCAGTGGCAGGCTGAGACTGAAGTCAAATAACAATTGATATTTACTGTGAATCAAGTATTCACTATAAAGAGCTTCACTGATGCAATTGTCATTATTAATAAGAATAGAGAAAATCAGATCTTAGACCTGCAGCAGAAGATTAAATGTTTATATAAATAGATAACTACACTGAATCTGAAGATCTCATTATGATTATTCACAATCTCTTCAGAAGTGTATATATTATTGAAGACTGCTGTGCAGAATGAGAATCTGAGCATGAGATATATTAAGCTGAGAGATCTGTTGAAGTTATTAAGCTTTAATAATAACTGAAAAAATGATGCTGTAATCAGCTGGCTAAGTCAGATGCAATTATATTATTGAATTGAATATGAACTCACAGACAGACAGTTAATGAAATTTTAACAAGTCTTAAGATCTGTTATATTTCTATATAAAAAAGCAAAGTCATTATAAATGACTGATGAAAAGATGAATCTCACAGATCTGAAGTGATATTCATTTTTATAAATATGAAATGAGTTTTTCAAGTGAATCTTGTACAACTTTGAGAAAGTGAATGTATGAGATAAGTATTATAAATACTTCACTAAGTGTAGATAAGTAAGTGATCTTACATTGTACTTTGCACACTTCAGCTTACACTATCTTGTATTGAATGAAGAGCTTTCAACATCTTTCTGTTTACAGATCTTTATTCATGATCTTATATCTGAGTTGAGAGTAGAATGAAAATGCTTAACCTCACAGTCAGGTACAGTGAAGAAAGCATATAACATTCTCATTGTATAAGAATAAGTAAGTCAATTGTGACAGAAAATACTGTAATTAAGTATGTCTCAGTGAAGAATGAATAATCAGACTTCTATGATACAAGTTACACATCTGAATGTGATGAATCTAGATCTGAATGTTATTGCTAAAGTGCTGAATTCTCTGAAAAAGGAATTCTCTGAGTGAAAATCTTGATATTGTGAACATCAAGCTTGCTTCAACTGCAGATGCTAAAATCATGATACAAAAGATTGCACTCAGTGTGTACAGTCAAGAGAAGCAAGAGAGTCAAAAAACTAACAGAATCAGTGAGCTCAGAGACACTCACTGATATTCTATGAAAAGTCTTCAAAGTGAAAGAGATACCTGTATTAGATGACTCTCTGAATTCTGTGAATGTAAAGAGAAAGCAGACTTCTGACTGAGATGCAGATGAGAAAGTGAATACTCATCTCAATATCTTAAGACCTGAAATGTTAATATATAAGAAACACTTGAGTAAGAATTGAGAGATGACTACAAAAGTGTTAGTGAACACAGAAGCTTCTATACAATATATTGATGATTATATAATCTGAAGATTGAAAGAGATCTGCTGAGTAAAGAATCTCTGATGTATAAGATTATCTGATAACTGATATTTGATATCACCTGCAAGAGTAAGAGTTTCCTTGCACTTTGAAGAATGATCTTGCTATATTTGAGCATGAGAGCTGCAGAATGTGAAATATAATCTTATTCTTGAACTTGATTGATTTCAAAGGTTCAATCTGCAGATTCAATGACATACATGTCATATGCAGTTGACTGATAGAAAGAAAATAGTTCATACAATTCTATCAACTGATATGAGAAGGACATTTCACATCTCTGATATAGAAGAGTTAAATCTGCTTATATATTAACAAGCAAAGAGAATGATTTGCAAGACCTCATCTGAAAGCATTCTATATATTATACAGAACCCAGAAGTGAAGAAAACTAAGATAAAGAATATATGAGAGAATAAGTGTATGAAGAAGCTTTTAAAGAAGCATGAAAAGATCTTCTGAACAGATCTTTCACTGAAATTACTATTAGAATGAGAATTTGTACATGAGATTGATATGAGAGATGTAAAACCAGTCAATCAGAATGTGTACCCTCTGTCATAAACACATCTCAAAGAACAGAAGTGTCAGATCACTGACCTTCTAGAACATGATCTCATATAATTCTTATCAAGTGTGTGAGGCTTTTCAGTTCTATTTATGAAAAAGATGAGTGAGAAGTGATGAATGTGTATTGATTACTGAGCACTCAACAAGCTTATAATCAAGAATGAATATTCACTGTCACAGATTCAACAACAGTTGAATATGATTGAAAATGCCTGATATCTATCAAAGATTGATCTTCTCTCAGAATACTGACAGATCTGTGTAGACAAACTGTCAGTTCTGTGAATCATGTTTAATATACAATGAAGAAAGTTCAAATTCCTGGCAATATCATTTAGTCTGATAAATGCACTCATTATCTTTCAAATGATGATGAATATAATTCTTCATAAACAGAATGAAATCTCATATCTTGTATATCTTGATGACATTCTAGTCTTTTCAAACTTATACAATGAATATCTGAAGTATCTTGATGAAGTGCTTATAACTCTGACAGAGCATAAGCTCTACATCAAATTAATCAAGTATGTGTTTGAAATAGAAGAGTTAGAGTTTGTAGAATATGTAGTAAGTGATGACTGTATACATCTCATCTCAGAGAAATTAAATATCATAGTGAATTGATCACAGCTGAGAAATGTACACTATGTATAATAGTTTCTTGAATTGATCTCATACTATCACAGATTCATTAAGAATTTCACACAAATATCTGCATCACTCTCAGATCTCTTAAGAGAAATAAATGCAAATCTGTGAAAGAAGAAGTTTCATTCAATTATCTGAAATGCTGTGTACAAAGAAGCTTTTCTCATACTGAGAAAACATATAATAACATTCTCAGTGCTTATTCAATCAGATCATGATAAACCTTTCTATATTGAAACAGATGCATTTGAATGAGCTATCAGAGATACTCTTCTACAGATAGACAAGAATAGCAAGCTGCACTCAGTGATATATAATAGTAGGAAACTATTGAGTGCTGAGCTCAATTATTCAGTGTATGAAAAGAAATTGCTAGTGATTAAGCATGCGCTGATGTTATGAGATAAATATATTAACAACAGGTATATAACAATGATGATCACAGATTATAAAAGCCTCATCTATCTATAATTGATGATAAAACCTTTCAAATACTTAGTATGTTGAATCTCAGAGTTTCAAGTGTATAATCTTCATATTAAATACTGAAAGAGATTGAATATTATGATATCTGATACAATCAGTCACAGATCTGATTTCATGAATGAGAGTTCTGTGAACCAGGCATAAGAAATGTTCATGTTAAATGTGCTGAGAGAATGCAAGAAATCAGAATGAGTGAATATCATGATCTCTCACTTAGAGAATGACAAGGTGTTAGATGATAAGCATCTCATAAGAGTAGTAGAAGAGATGCTTTCAAACTTCAAGCTAGAGAAATTGAAAAATGATGTTGTGCTTTACTGTGATCTAGAATACACAGAAGCTCTCTATCTAGAATCTTCATTTAGATGTGATTTAATAACTTATATGCACAAGGAATTCAGTCACTTAGAAAGCCCTGAACTCATGAGTGTACTTGAATCAAGAGTATACTGACTAAGCATGACTGAGGACATTCAAATGTACACTTATGAGTGTCTGAATTGTCAGGTCATGAAGAGATCTAAGAAAGAGTTAGAATGCAAGAAAGTACAATATCAGATAAAGTGTATAATACAACTGTTTAAATGATGAGAGATGAATCTCATCAGCATATTACTGTGAATATCAAATGAAAATTGATGAATAATCACTGCTATTAATTACACTACTGACTGGCCAGTTGTGAAAGCAGTTTCAGAGACAATAGAGAAGATGATGATGAAGTTTCTACATAATGAGATCTATATCAACTATGAAATGCTGCGCGAGATTCTAACTGATAATGATACAAATCTCATAGAAGAAGTGATGAGGCATTTCATAAGCCAGTTACAGACAAGATATCATAGAACAACATCATATTATTCACAGATGAACAGAAAGATGAAATACTTGAATGAAATCTTGAGCAACATGCTGATGAAATATCTAGTGAGTAAGTCTATAAGATTATAGAATGAATATCTCAGTCAGACACTATTAGTCATGTGAATTCAGCAGCATGCAGTCTTCAAGTGTTCATCATTCTATCTATTGTATGAATTGCATTCATGCATTCTGAAGAATGCTTTGAAAAAGATGAGAAAGAGAGCAGTTGCAGATGCAGCAGGAACAGCAGTTGCGGATGCAACAGTTATGAACACAGAACCAAGATTGAAAGAGATCAGCTATGCACATGTAAAAGCTAATGAGTTACT